TGCTTCATATATGCCTGGAGTTTGGATTCGCCCGCCGAACACCTGCAAAATCATTTGTCCAACAAATCCTTCGAGTTATACTGCCAGCACATGTAATGTACTATGATTTGTGACGCTTTCAACTAACATGCGATGTCAGACTGCCGTGAAAGAGCGTTGATCAAGGATGATTTGTTTTGCCGCGGTGATTTTTGATTGAGTGAGTAAGTATGATTCTGTGATCGCACATGATCATACGGCAGGGATGCCAAGTACAGATACATCATTACATGGATTTGTGTGGATTCCCTTGCAATGTGTGCTTTGTTTCAGGACCTTTAAATATGTGTGATCATGTGTCATTTGGAACCAAACTTGCCAGTCGACACGAACTTGCCGACTGGGACCTCGGCCCTGGTAAGAGGTCGGTCACAGAGGGCGTGCAGATCACATTCGACCTGTGCACAGAACTTACTTGCCGGAATTTGAAGGAACAACGACCCTCCATCCAACAAACATGGTGGAAGTGGTTCCCATGGCCCCGGTCACGAAAGACGGCTGTCTGAATAGGCTGGTTTTCCACGTCACCATGGATTGTTTCAGGGAAGGTAAAGAAACCGGTTCTGAGACCCGGAAGGTTAGGGGAATTCCATCGCTGTTTTCAGAGGAACTGAGCAGTTGGAAGCCAATGGTGTTGGACCACGTTGTTCGTTATTTGGAGTTGTTGGGGTTCACCCCAAAGTGTTTCTGAAAGCATGATGGCAAGAAACCCGGACAGGACTCACATGGCCATCGAAGGATTCCCCGTGTGTCGGCCAGTGAAGGCTAGACGGGGGTAGTTTCATTGACGCTATGGCAGCTATGACAGCTAAGCAACCCAAATACGACAACGACAAAGCATGTGTCAGCTTAGCAACGGTCCCAGACGGTATGTCTTCGATAGTGACTCCGTTGGTTTGTCCACTGACACATGTCTTCGATTGACACGCGTTTGACCGGATGCCTGGCGTGGCTTCGATCGCCAGTGGGCGATCCAGAAGGATGCACGAACTCTGGGACGTCATAGGTGACCTGCATGAGTTCATGTTTGCGGAGCAAGCATAAATGGACATCAACTGAATACATTCATATACAACCATCAATGACCTTTGTAGATATTATAAGTGAATGCACTTCAGAGAATGACTCGGGACATCACGACATATTTGTTTACATTCTTAACCAGAACATACCAGAACATTCAACCAGTAAGAACACACTTCTTGCGCCAGTGTTCCGCCCCCTTCGAAAGACATTCAGCCGAAGGGGTCGCACACTGCGCCTACCATGCCCTAGGTAGTTACCGGAGTTTTTTGCAATACAGTTCCTTGGCAAAAATCGGTCCGCGGGATGGTGGAGAGTGGAGAGATGTGGAGAGTGGTCCAGTGGAGGGTAAAGTCGTCGATGCATGTCGACGCCGGCCTTCAGTGCTATCTTCAACAAGATCAACCGGCCATAAGAAGCCCAAATGTGTCAAAGGTTATGAGTATTGAATATGCTCCTTTTCTCTTCAAAATGAGGCTGATTTAGAACACTCTCCGGTGGATATGACATGATATAATATATGACTCATGATTCACCACTTCTTTGTTCGAGGATCCATCCCGGACGGACGCCCTTCACTGCATGACCTGAGGCGATCGAGAGTGCAACGATCGACAAGGACGTGGCGACCATCAAGCAAGTCCAGGCCAAAGCGCATCAGGCCGGGGAACACCGGGGGAGGGCAGCGGCGAAAACGGATTAGGTGTCGTTTTCACGGCGGTGGCAGCGAACCAAACGCTTGCGAAACGTCTTCCCTTGGGATTGTGTGGAACGTTTGGGTGTGTCTATTTTGGCTTGGAACAACATGTACTTGAATGGACTCAACTGGTTTACCTGGAACATCAAATAATGGACAGTAGTGGTCTGGCGTTGTTCAATAACTTCAAGTACAACACTAATGGTTGGCGTTCGAATGCAGTGATCGACCTGTACACCCTACGCCAGACACAAAGGGGTGAACTTGGGCAGGCCAGAGCCTACTCTTGGGCGCACCCAAACCTACAGTGGTTTCAGAGACCCCATGATGTCCTTTAGATGGGGCTCCATACAAACCACCTTTTGGGGTCTGTGCCATCTACTCTCAATCCACTATAGAGAGAAGGGTCGCCACCTGCGCAAACAACTTTGATGGGTCTCACGCCCTTGGAACCTTCAACAGCTTCAAAGAGGCCATCTCTGCCACATCCTTTAGACTTTGGGGGTCCTTTATTCAAACCACTTACTGTACTTAAGTACTTCTAAAATCATGGCATGCTCTCAAGCTGCAGTCCATCCAATTGAATCCCGTCCATCGTCCCACGTCAAAACACGTCGTAACACGTGCATTGGGTTGGACGCATTTGGACCGCTCAGGTGGAGCACCTGAAGCACATCTTCCAAGAGATCGATCGGCTGAACGTGAACGAAGTCAGCTTCCAGGCCGCGGAGGGCGAAACTGACCAGTCAGTGACCTTTATATATCATTTCGGGGGACTGGTTATGTTACAGTTATATACACCCCCCCCACTAAACAAGAAGAGGTGGAAGAGGCATAAAAACCCCTTATAAGCATATTAGGCTGTACTTGACTGGGAGGTGACCGGAGTCAGAAAAAGGTGACCCTGGGTGCAGAATCTGAAGACAAGGGCTCGTGTGTGTTTGGTCCATTTTCCAGGGAAAGAAACGGCTAAAAAACCAGCACCACCCAGTTCGGGTGGTTTAGAGACCCCCGTGAAGATGCATTTTCCATCTAATCACATCTAAGAACCACCCGAACTGGGTGGTGCTGGAAGGACTCCGCTTTTGCACCGCGGCGGCACCTGCCGGAGCTCTTCACGAACCGTGCCGCGTGAGTTCGCGCTGCGCGCGAGCCGCGAACCGTGGTCGCGAGGATGTGCAGGAGGCGATCAGCTCTGGGGAGTTGTCCAGCTTCATGGAAGCAGTGGGCATCTCCACCGATGATGTTTGGACCGGTGACCGGGCGAGCGGGGTGACCAGGGGGGGCGAACACGGGAAGCAGTCTAGAGGTTGAAGAACCCGAAATTCGACTATCCTATAGGTACCCCGGTAGGGTCCTATAAGGTCATTTAACCTCAGTAGGAAGGTGGTAGTTCCATATATTTTTATACATCTATACACAAAAAATAACATTTGGGGGGTGGGTCAGAGCGTTTGGGTGGTGGTTTGTAGGGTTCCCCGAAGGATCCATTTTGCAGCGCCACTTTTGTCAATACCTCCTCGACTTGGCAAAGATTGCATGGGCAGTGAAAGAATCAAGCACATTCTGCGTAAATACCCTAACCGGGAGTACTACTCTTCATTACTCTCCTTTCAACGAACATGGAAGTGGAGTTCACCCTGGGTTTGTAGAGGAAAATAGCTAGAAGATCCATGAAGATCCTTTCAGCAGAATTTCTTGCCTTTTTCGGCAAGAGCGGCTTTTCCCGTCCTGGGGCGGAAATCAACTTGTTGCCGCAGAAATGTTCTTGTTGCTGTGAATTGTCCCTTTCAGGAAGCTAGTCAGTACAAAGACTATATTCTAGAGGAGTTGAATATTTTCTGTGGCTTACATTGGGCAAAGTTTCCGCCTCCACCTGGAAATCTGGCTACCATCATATCATATGTGTCTTTGTTCTTGAAGGCTTTTTGTGCGGAATTAGCACATACGGAGTCCAAAGTTGAAAACACCTGCCGCAAAAATGCAAGAGAAAAAGGCCTAAATACCCAGTAAAATTGCATAAATACCCGGAAAATCGGCGGAAATACATGGGAACACGACGGACATTTCCTCGCAGAAGGCGGGATTCAAAAACAGTGCGTTTGAAGGGCTTGAACAAATTTTGCAGCCTCTTTGTGAATGTCAGGATTAAAGAAGTGTCAATATCGTAGGGTGTGAGATCTTGAGATGTGAAACCACGTCCTTGCAGTACGATATGTGGTATGCAATCATGGAAGAGACAACCTGGTCGGTGTTAGGCAGTGGTGATGGCTTTTGAAAGGCGATGTTGAAATTTGTGTGCGGCAGAGATTCCTACCTGGCGCGGATTTCCCCTAAATCCGCGAATCCTCCCGGGCAAATCGGGCCGAGGCGGAAATTTTTGTCCCAGGTGCTTCTAGGTATGGAAAATGGCCATGCCATTTTCTTTGGCTGTGTCACGTGTCACGTTGACTATCTCATTAATTTTATCAAGATTCCATGACCCCGTTGAAGACACGAGCCCTTTTGGGGTCTTTTTGTGCTTCCGTTTGGTCGCTTGCTTGTCGCTCTTTCATGCTTCCTTTTTGGAGTGAAGCGTTTGGGTGAACTGGCACGATGCCACAGGAGGCACCATGTTTGAAGGAGACTGGCAATGCCAAACCAGGCAACAGGGAGAAAAGCTAAGTCCAAACCTGATCAGAGCGGTTTTTCCAAAGCATGATCCTAGCAGATTTCCTAGCAGTTAAAGGAGGCATGACACCCCAGCTTCTAACTCCGTCGCTCGTTTGCTGCGCTTGGTTCCGTTTGTATACCTCAACTTGGATTCACCTTCCACAGTTTGATACCTGGGCCCGCGATGTTCTCCACCCTGACGTCGGATACAGTCCAACCGGCAAGGGTATTTGGCCAGCCTTGACTATGAGAAGTGCTTTGACTGTCTCAGGCCTACGGTCTGTACTGAGCCCTGCTCCGTCAAGCTGTAATGGACAGTGGTTTCTGTGAAAAACCATGTGCACAGATGTGGGACGAACCCATGTGCGCTAGCCGCCGTGCTGGACTGGACACACGGGGATCCCGGTCTTGGGGGGGATCCTCTGGTGCGGAGCGCTGGACTAGCTCGCTGCATCGGAGTGCATTGGAGCCTCCGGTCCGATGATGTGACACTTGGACCTTCATGGACGATCGGACCTTCAGCTCCACATGGCCTGCTCGCTTGATGGACAGGGTTCGCATGTGGCAGCAGTGGAGCAGGGGTGCTGGGGCTTCTGGAAAGTGCACCAAGAGCGCTAGTGGCGCTTCAGAGATTTTGTGATCCTGCCACCTCTCAAGTGTCACAACTCGGGGTCAGACCAACGCGCCTAAAGAGCAAGCTCGCTTCAGTTTGGCTTCAGCAAGACTAGAACTCCTGAGCGTTCTTCGTTTGCCCTATGGGACTTTCACATGATACGCTCGCGCATTTGGGATCTCGGCTGTGGCGTATTGATGGCTGGCCTGTCTCCCCACATGGAACGACTGTGACCGCCTTTGGAAGGCCATCTCTGGTTCGCGCTGTTCTGTTCGGAGGAATTCAGCACCTGGATGCTCACGATCCTCTTTCGTGTCATCACTCAGCTTTTCAACAAGGGTCTGCTTGTTTAAAGCACGACGGCTGGTTGCCCAGTTCATGCTCAGCGTGCATGGATGAAAAAGAGAGGGTGGCTGCTGGCCCTTGCCGATTGCGTGCGCTGCTTGCTTTGTGCCATGCACACCTCAAAAGCCTGCTACTGTACTGCTACTACCACTACCACTACCACTACCACTACCACTAC